GGGCCAGGGATTTAGCTCAGCGGTTCGGTGGCCTGCCTTGCAAGTGCAAGGACCCAAGTTCAATCCCCGGTGCCAAAAAAAAAAAAAACAAACAAACAAACAAAATATTATATATATATCTGAGAAATAAACTTTCTCCCTCTTTTAAGAGGACTTAGCAGAGTTCCTTAAACCCACAGCTAGCATTTGTCAGTAACTTTCTTAAAAGGGCAAATTCACCAGGCAGCTACAGAGTAGGAATGAGGAATTCATCAATTATATGATTCCTCCATTTAGCAAGTCAAAAAGAAAAAGCTGGCAGGATCTTCTCAGGAGTCCCAAACACTCATATTCCAAAACAAGCTAGCTAGCTCAGGCACTTGTCTAAATAATGGACTCCTGCCCTGACCTTGTAATTTACTTTACAATGCATTTATAATCTCACTCAATATATCCCACTCCTGGGTAAATCTCTTTAACAAGATTAGATGGTAAGATACCAAAATTAGATTTTAAACATTTGTCTAATGTGGAAGGGGAAAAAAAAGGCAGCAAGATTTTGAAAGAAAACGCTGACATTAGTATTACATTATCTGCCTATTTTTGTTTGCCTCCTCTCTTCAAAGGGAAATAAAAAGCTTCAATGAGAATATTTTTATAAATTTTTTGTTGTTGAACAATGACTTGGGTCCCAAATAGGCAGGAAAAAACTATCTAGTTCCAACTACCGTGACCTGCTGTGGCTTTCTCCTTTGCCTCCCTAGGACTCTGGGTTATTATCATACATTTAGCCTGACAATTGGAATTGGGTGAGTAAAAAGGAGATTTGTCAGCTGAAGCAAGTCCTTAACACTTTCATCACTCCAAATGCCTTCAAATCATATTTTCCTCTTATAATCTTTTCCTGAAAACCGGGACTGGACCCATAATTAGTGATGCTGGTTTTTTCACATGTGCCGTGATGCGACCACTGATAAATGCTGACGTCTGTGGCTTGGGGCACTACATCAAGAATCTCATTTGTACTCTTTCCAAGGGGCCTAAACAAGAAAAGTGTGTTTTATTTTGTTGTTCTCAGCTTCCTAAAAAAATTTTCTCAGAGCCACTTGTGTGATTACACTGTAGTATTTTAACACTGACGCTATCCTTCCCCCTCTCATACATCAGGTCAGTGAAAATGGCATTTTATCTTATAATGAGCATACTACATACAGTTTTCACTATCACATTAAAGTATTCCCATCAACTAGATATTCTAGATCATGAGGGCAGCTAGTATAATCATAATGTCAATGAGAAGGGCTGTTACGATTGAGACTAAAGATTACATGGAAAGAGCTGCTTGAAACTGGTAATTATTACCAGTCCACTAATAGCAAATGATGCATTACAATTTCACCATATAATCTGTATTTCACTCAGCTCATGCCGGTGCACCATATTACATTACAGTGTTCACAGATTCTAAATTCCTAAACTGCAGTCATCAATAAATGTGTTACTTGCCATAATTTGTGAAATTACTTTGTTCATAACATCTTTGATGGTTTAGAACGACCAGAATTGATTTCCTGCGTGGCAAAATTAGGGCTACATTGATTTATTGATGTGTAAAATATAATAATATTCTTCATTTACTCTGATGAAAATCAACTTCTCAATTTGAGAGCCTCATTGGGTATTCAAGGGGATTGTTTTGATTTAAAGCAATAAACTGAAATGCAGGCCCCAAGCACAAGAACTCAAGGCATTTAAAGGGTTAAAAACAGCTGTTAGCCTACCTAGTAGATTTTATTTTATTTTATTTCATTTTTCTTTATGGGAAGGAATAACCTCCAATTTCTAATGTGTCACCAGTACAAAAAGTCATATGATTTAAGCCTCAGATTTTTAAGGAGGACTGAGGCAGAACCCCTGGCTCTAGCTTGTGACTATAGGACTAACTTCTCTGAGCCTTTGGATTTCTACCTGTAAAGTGAGTATAAAAATAGTAACTTTAAAGAATTGTTGTAAGATTCAAACAACAGAAGCATATAAAAGCCCTCTGTAAGCTATCAGGTCCAACCTTCGTGTGAGTTTTCATTACTATTGGGCTTGATTAATTACCAAGGGTAATGACTAACCACATTACATGCCCAGAACAGCTTCCAGAGAAAGGTCCAAGTGTAGTCTTACCCTGGGCCCTGGGCCCTGGTTAGAGAGACAGGAAGGGGCGATCTTAAGTCATTGTTCCAGTTTCACAACTAGAGAGGCCACAGGGCACAGGCTCTGAAAGCCAAGGGCAGATGGGAAATGCAGCTGAGTGGGGAGGCATCAGTTTTATCATGGAGCTTTTTAGAACCCTGTAACCCATTTCCACATACCTTGCTCTGGTCACTCCTAAACTGGTCCTGCCAGACCGGACAACAGCAAACTATGTTCCCTGCCCTTGTGAGCAGCAGGGAGAGGAGAACAGGGGTTCCATACTGAGCGCCCACTTTCCCATCCATCAATCAAACCCCCTGCCCTCAGGAAGACCAAGCTGAAGACAGAGGACTGAACTGTTTCCCTGACCACCAGCCTCTCAACTTCATCCTCCTCTCTATGGCCCCCCTTTGTTTCCTCTCCCTCCCAAGATGCCCCAGGCATCCCCCCAAAAAGGAGGGGTGCTCCCCACCCAGCCAGCATGTAGGGACTGGAAATCATGGCCCAACCCTCTGAATTCTCCATAGTGTGTGACCTAACCCAGGCTTAGGCCCAGCAATGGAGGTGGGGAGAAACGATGGGCAGCTTTAACCCCTGCACCACCCAGCCCTCAGGACCTAAGGGCTTGAGAAAGTCATACAATAACTCTTTGTAACCTGGGATTGTTAGCAAAAATAAACAAGTAGCTTAGAATTTGGTCTAAGGGTGCATGCCCTGCCCTGTAGAGTCCATTCATGAGAGAGCTATAGATAAGTCTAATTTCCCTCCCTTATTTTTTTTTAAAAAGCTCCCTTTCTAGCCTTAACTCTTACATCTTATTCTTTGTTATTTTCTTTCCATGAACCTTTCCCTTTCTTTTTCCTTCCCATGGCAGGTTTTTTTTCCCCATTTACTTTCAAAATAAAAAGTAGATGTCACACTTTTTTCTCGAACCTGCTTTTTTTCTATTTGAGGTAGAATCAACCTCTGCCCCCACACTTCAACTATACATGATTCATACCGTGTGTTTCTACATACTAAAGAAAACTGAATTACTTTTTAAAACATCTTTTAGAAAACATTTTTATAAATGAGCAAATCTAAATTTCATTAAAAGGTCTCCATTATCAAAGTTGACTTGAACAAGTAAATGGATGATGGTGGCAGTGGTGGCAGAATCTTTATATTTTAAGCATAATGTCTGCCATAAGAAAACCAAGCACAAATTATGTCTATATATGCACATGTGTATATATAAATATACCATGTTCAATTACACACGTACATGCATAAATAACATGCAAAGTCCAGAGTTACTGTAAACTGACTCCTAGTGACTCTGGCCTCTGCGACATGCCACGGAATAAATTCAAGCCCTCTGTGAGGTGATGGGAGTGAAAGTCCATCAATAAAATAGGATCTGAATGCACAGACATATCCAGCCACCAGCCATGGAACCAAACAAGACTCTGAGCAGAGACCCACAGGGAGGAGCTGCTATGAGTCCCATGCCGTCAGTGAGGAAAAGAGAAAAAGGGCAAGGACATATCACACTGGGGCTGAGTGGAGTGGAGGAGCAGGTGCCAAGTGAGTAATGGAATAATACATATGTTGGTGCCGGTCTATTTCAGAAGTAACTCCCTTCAGTACTTAAAAAGTAAGGGCAATTTCCAGAACCTCAAATCTCTAGACACATGGACATTTGTAGAAGAAATAATGCTCAACTTACAAATACCCTGCGGGGCATATTCTGCACTCATCCCAGGCGTGGGGATTAGAGCTCTGTGTGCAGAACGAGGGGAAGACAGGCCCCTCCAGTGCAGAAGTTTATCTGTGAAAGAAACCCAAAATCAAGCACTACAGCTATAAACAATGTGCATCGTAAACCACAGGATATCACATTTCAATTCCATTAAAATAGATTAACATCATTACAACAGCCTTGCAGATAGTTAATAGGCCCAAGGCCTGAAACGAAAGAACAGTGGTGAACTGTTTCCCATAGTTTTTGTTTTGTTTTTAATTGTGGACTTTTTGGATAGAAAGGAAGGGGCTTGTTTTAGGTATGGAGGTGGGGGGTGATTCTTACATTCATTTGTTCAATTATCTGTTATTATATGATTATTGTCTCATGGTAAGAGATGTGTCCAAATAGCAAAGAGAGTATTGGTACTATTTATTATGACTGAAAAAATTTCGGATTTATCTGCAAGGCTGGTTTACATGCATCCGTTAGCTTTGCTTTACAGGCAAGTCCAAACAAAAAGCAATACAATATACTAATAGGAAATGAGTTGGTTAGTGAAAAAAAATTTTTTTTTTTTTTAACTGAGGATCAAACTCAGGTCCTTGTGCTTGCAAGGCAGGCAGCAGAACCACTGAGCTAAATCCCCGGCCTCTGTGAACCTTTTTTTACCGAACAGTTCTACTCTGCCTTCCCCCTCCCACAGTGCCCTCCCCATGCTATATTCATTATAGGACCTTCAATGATAAGGAAACCTCGGGCATTTCAGGACTTGGTAAGGCCATGTTCTAACATTCTATCAGATGGAGTAGCCTGTGTAGGCAAGCTTTCTTGAAATACTAAGTGGTTGAAAATGGAGATTAGACTTCTGGAGTTAAATAACTTTGGCCAAGTTCCCTCCTTGAGGCTGAGGAATTATGTCATAAAATGACAAAGAAAGAATCAGCATCCAATAATAGCAGCACCCAGAAACCAGGGTCCACTTTGCCCATTCTAGTGCACACCTGGTGAGGAAAAATAACTTCTCACACTCATTAATCTAACAGTCAATCAAGCATTTCTAGCACTGAGAATTTTTGCAAGAAAGGAAATTCGGTTTGTGTGACCTGAGGATAGTATGGTTTCTGTGGTAAGTGTCCAGCTTCTCAGAAAACTAAACATATAGATATCAACCTTGAGATGGGCGGGGGTGGCGGAGAATAGATGGAATAGGAGACACTCTGTGTGTTTTAGAGAGTTTTGGAGTTTGTGATGACTGGAAGAGGCAGGAGAGAAGAAAAACTAATCTTGACGGTGAGCAAAGTATATTTTCCATTAGCTTAATATTAAGAGCACTTAAAAATGATGTTGGGTATACTCTAGGATAGCAAGCCCCAAGTGTAAAACAAATCCCATTCCTACAAAAGCCACACTGCCAAGTGCATCCAGGGCAGTTGGGACAAGGTTCCCTTTCACGAGGACCCTGGTGGGTGACAATAGTGTGTGGCTAGAGAAAACTGTTACTGACAGCATAAATCTGTTTTTGCCAGGCCCACGTAGAGAAGACATAGGGGAGCCATGACCTCCCCTGAAACGATCTTCCTCTCTGATCCAAAACAAAATAAGAAACACAAACTGGACCAACAAAAGTGGGAAGACTAGACTCAGGAAATAAGTATGTCTACATTTGGTTATGTTAAATAAATTGAGAAGCTAGGATAAAATTAATTACAGATCTAGTCGTTGTAGTTTTCAAGGAGAAATCTGAGAATCCATTTTTGCACCTGTTCTAGCCTAAGCAAGGTTCTTTGTCACTGAGACTAAGATCCTTTTTGTAAGAAACCCACACAACTGAGGGAATCTCTGTGATCCTAGCACAGTACTGACAAGGTCCTTGGACCCTTGTATGGGGAAAGTCTAATTTTAAGTTCCCTGCCACTTTGGGAAGAGGTCCTTCAATAAGCCTCCAACAAGAAGCAGGCAAACAGCCCCATCCTACCTTCACCACATGCATTATCTCTGGTTGGCAGACTCGTCTACTAATCTGTTACCTCTGAACAAGTTGCACTCAGAGCAGCCAGAACGAAGAGAGAATAAGCTCTCGTAAACCACAATGTCTGAGTACCTGGCATCATGGTTTGTTTGGGGTTTTGATTTTTGAGTTATAAAGAACTTTAATCACCAAGTCTATGCCTTCATTTTTACAGGCTGGGAAAATGGAGCCTTGAGAAATTAAGTGGTTTGGTCATAGCTGAACTGAGGCTAATCACAAAGTGAAGATCAGAGTTAGTCTCCCCACTCTTGGTCTGTGTTTTTTCCTGGGGCATCCATCTCTCCCCTTTGCTGTCCTTGTCACGGTCTTCACTACCCAGAAAGCACCTAAAGAGAGCTGGTTCTCTTTCCAGTGATCCATTGGGCAGCACTTGAAAACCTCTCAGGGGAGATTCCATCCAGCAGAATGGCTTTCAAAAGGATCCAATGAATTGACTTGATTTCACAACTGGAAAACAGCGCCTGCTCTGCCACTGAAGGCTCCTGGCCGCAGCCCCAGTGTCCCACCCTCTACCTACGTTTCCCCTGCAGAATTAACCCACTGAGGAAAAACAAACCATTGCTCTCAGCCTAACAAGCTGTTTACTTTAGAACACAGCACACTGTCTTTGTGCCAGAGACATGGACTTGTGTTTCTCTTCTTCCAGGAAGATGGTCAAAAAGCAGAGCCAATTGGGAATCCAGCAGGTTTTGCCCCTTCTTCCCCTAAACACATCCACAATGTTCTCCTTAGTAAGGAGAATAGACATTCCCACATGAACTGGAAATGCTAAATTTTTAATAGCCTCCCTAGGGTTTAACTTCTTGCTATGATGCCTTCAATTATTTCATCACAGCTTAGGCAAAGTAAAGTATCACAATTAATGCTTCTGAGCATCAAACTCAATGAGCAGTTCTGCCTTCCTGGGCCAAGAGGGAAAAAGATCTGCACTGGTTGAGGGCAGCTTCTTTTCCCAACTTCCTTTTTTGTTCACCCCTGGGAGAGAGAGGCTGAGGTTATGCCCTCTGGATTTCTTTGTTGGTGCTCTCAGGACAGTAGTTCTGAAAGTGCAGACCCAGACCCAGCAACAGCAACTCCCAGCAGCTTGTTGGAAATGTAAATTCTTAGTCACCACACCAAGCTTACAGGATCTGAAACTGCAGGCAGATGGGGGAGTAGCAGTCGGTGTTGAATAAGGTGATTCTGATGTACAGTCAAGTTTAATAAGGTCCATTGGAGGTTAAAGAGAAGTAAGAAGCTTGAAGCTTTGATGTTCCCTGGGCAGAAACCTGTGGGCCATAAGACTATTGCCCCTTCCATCAGGACCCACCAGTAAGACTGGAACTTTCAAATTCAGGGGAATTCCTCAGGGGTCATCCATCCATCCATTACCTATCTATCCATCCATCATTGACCAGACCCAGTCTCGTCAAGTAGGGAGCTCACCTGACACAAGACAACGTCTAGTGTTGGGTACTTAGTGTCCTCAGTTTTCATAAAAGCTAAAATGTTTGCCTTGAGTATGGCTCAGTGGTAAAGCACTTATCTAGCGTGTGTGAAGCCCTGGTTCAGTCCTCAACACCACAAAAATAAATGAATAAATGAGCTTTCTGCATAGCCAGAGCAAGAACTGGACGACTGTGTCTCTTTCTGGACTCTGGAACGTGACATGTTACCCTTCTCTGAAACAATCTCTATCCAAGTGTCTTTTGGTTCTCTAGTGGAAGGTGTTTCAACCTGTTCTGTTTCATAAAGGTCTCGCTAGTGCCATTCCACCGGGGTCTCAGAAATACATTATGCATTATTAGGTTGCAAAGTTTCCTCAGGGCTGAATAAAAACTGGTGAATCCTATTTTTCTGATTTTATTAAAAATCTGCAACAAATTAGATATGGTTTTGATTTAATGCTACACATTGGTCACTTCACTTTTCTATATACGCTGGACACCAGGTTTTGACCCAGAGCTCTATAAACCTAGTGAGATATCCCTGAATTTAAACTCATTAAGTTAAGTTTCCTCAAGGACATTTCAAAGATTCCATGGCTATTAACATGCTATTTGTTTCTTCAACTAACCATTGGGCAAGTAATATAGCCACGCTGCTGTCTTCTTCTGCACAAATAATACTACTGATCTCCAAATGTGTGTGCCAAAACAGTAAAGCACAAAGCATCACATCTGACACACTTAATGACTACTTTGGGAACTCAACTGTTATCAGATATTAAAATCTCAGGCCTAAACCGGGCATGGTGGTGCACACCTGTAATCCCAGCACTCAGGAGGTTGAGGCAGGAAGATCATTGTGAGTTCAAGACCAGCCTGGGCTACATAGTGAGATCCAGGTCAGTCTCAACTACATAGTGAGACCCTGTCTCAAAAAATCAAAACAAAACAAAAAATCCCAGGCCTAGGGGTTGAGGATATAGCTCAGTCCCTGAGTTTGATCCACAGCATGCATGTCTACATATGTACACACTCATGCATTCACATACACACAAATATCCCAGGCTTCTCCATAAGAGTGCAGGGAGGCATGCTGCTTACTAAAATGTCTATGTGTGTATACATACATTTTTTAATAAATATACAGTCTGCCCAAAAAATATAAACTCTTCAGCAATTCGCCATACTAATGAATTACCTGGAAGCTAATGGCCACCACTCTGAACACCTCTTAAAATTGTAGAGGCCAAAGAAAAGTTGTATTGATCTCATGATGGCTCAATAAATTTAATGTTAAAATATTTACATAAGTTTTTCTTTTCCTGGTGTATACCCTTCTTGACGGTAAGTGTTTAGATAATTGTGTCTCCAAGAGAAACAAGTGAAAGTATTTTGTGAAGCAACGGCCTCTTGCTCACCTTGAGTCTCCAAAAAGAGAATGGTTGACAACTCATCACGAGCCAGAAGAATCTATATTGGTGACAGGCCAGAAAAAGGACTTGTACAATCCTGTAACTTTTCCATCTCCACGATCTTCAAGTTGCCCATCCTCCAGGTAGCTGCCTTCCAAACTACAGTTACAATAAGTCCTGAATGTTTGGGCAGTTCCCCAAAGAAACTAATTCCAA